GCTAATCGGAGCTAAAAATCCCGAAATGAAAAATACCAAAATAGGAATAAGACTTGATATGATTAGAAATGCCCAAAAAATATCATATTCATAAAGCAGAAACATAGATGCACTCCTATGAACGTGGAAAATATACCGGATTAGTCAATTCGACTTGAATTTTTTAAGTCGTTCATAACTGTTTAGTTAAAGTAAGAATTGCTTTTGGTCGAACCATTTAGTTGGGCGTGTTTCCTTTCAAGATTCATAGATTAGAATCCTATTTTTATTACATATCTTTAGATATCTTTTGATTTTTTTTGGTTATAGTTAAAACTAACTATTGCTCTTATCCAAATTCTCTTGTTTTCATATCAATCTTACCGAGTATTCTCTCTAAAGAAAAGGGATTCTAAATATAATTCTCATTTTTTTTTTATGAATATGTCCATTTGTCTCTTTTTATTAGCGGTTTATAATAGAACAAGTAGTCAGATGTAAGAGAATGTCTAGGAATTTTCATCTCAAGATTTAGAATATATGGGTCTTATTATATTCCTTTTATTAGAATCCAATCCCGATGGAGGATTTTCTATTCATTGAATATCGAAAGAGAAGACTAGGTCTAAGTAAGGTATACAAAGGAAAGCCTATTTTACGTTTTAGCAAAGATATTCGCTTTTCAAACTTTATATCGTGCACAAATAGCGCGCAATACCGACGTAAATTACTATTAGATTTGATTGGGGTTGGGTTGGGTTAGGTTGGAGTTTTTAACCAGACTCGTGTCATGATACAAAATTCCATAGAATTGGGTATACCAAACGAAGGGTACTATAACTAACTCGCTGATTTCAGACAGGAAAAGATGAAAATTGCAGATGAATTTTCCTACGAAGAGTACTGAACAAAAGTTGGTTTGTTTATCCACAACTGGAAAAAGATCGATTGGGTCCATTGATATGAAATGTGTTTTTGCTTTTAGTTTGATATTCTACTTTAAACGATCCCCTTGAATGGGCTTATAGTAATGATTGTCTTTTGATGAAGCAATCAGTCAGTTAAAACAATAACGAGGAAATTCAAATGAAAAATGATACAATTTTTTTTTAATATTCATTTTTATTTTATAGGGCTCTAGGGCTATACGGACTCGAACCGTAGACTTTCTCGGTAAAAAAGATCAAACTTATTATTATCAAAATGATCTGAACTGTTTCAAAGACCCAACATGCATTTTTTGTGCATTGGGCTCTTTCATTAACTGATATAAATATCAACTAGTCCGCCATTTTTATTTTTTACCGAAAAATAAGGAGATGGCTCCATGTGCTCTGAGTCATTATGTGGATTCAGATTCAGGAACACTACCAAAGTTTTTCAAGGGGGGTTATCTTGACGTAGGTCTGCCTCTGGCCTAGATTAACCTAAGTGAAATGAAGTCTCTATCGCTCTATTTAAAAATCAAATATGAAACTTCGTACACCTTAAAGTTCATAGGACGAAAAGAGATTTTTTTGAGGCCCTTATGCTTAGCCTAGCATTAAATAGACTGGGTATTCACCTTATCAATATATCAAATCAATGATGGGGTCTGTTTGGCACCTAACTGGGCACCTAAACGGACCGAACCCTTGTCAGGCTATTGTTCTCTTCTTCTCTCAAAGTTATGGAGTAAGACATAGATTTGTCAATAAGATCAATTTTTTTGATTCCATGATGGACTCCCCTGAAAAACATCGGCGCGCGTGTAAACGAGGTGCTCTACCAACTGAGCTATAGCCCTTAGTGCTTGTAATATATATTTTATTATATCGATAATTTTTTGTCAAGATGAATATTCTCAAGATGACTATTCCATGATCCAAGATCATATTGATCGGTATTGCTTCTAAGTAATATGATATTTATAATCCATCGATGGGATGAGTCCCTTTTGGTTTTCTTTGTGAAGATAAATGACCTACTTAACTCAGCGGTTAGAGTATTGCTTTCATACGGCGGGAGTCATTGGTTCAAATCCAATAGTAGGTAGAACTTATTAGATACCGCGGTCCATGGTATCTAATAAGTTTTTATACCCATTTTCTTTTACTGATATTGATTTTTTTATCTTTTCTATTTCTTTTTTTGTTGCATCAAAATCTGATTTTGCTTGATTGTATTTACTCAACAGAATCAAGTCAAACAAAACACCCAAAGGGTGTATAAGTGTATAAATCGATGACTATTCGGACGCACCTACTGGTTATGAAATCGCATTGATAGCCTCTACCCGTGTCCTAGCCCGTCGGAGAGCTAGGTTTGCCTCAATTGTTTGTCTCTTTCCTCCAGCTTTTCTCAAAGCAGCTTCCGCTATTTCAAGAGTTTGCTGAGCTTCTTGTGGATCAATGTCACCACTTTTCTCTGCATCATTTACTAAAACAATGATCTCATTATTACCTATTCTAGCAAAACCGCCCATCAGAGCCATCGTTAGCCATTGGTCGTTAAGGCGTATTCTCAAAATACCTATATCTACTGATGTGGCAATAGGAGCGTGATTTGGTAATACACCAATTTGTCCACTATTAGTAGATAAAATGATTTCTTTCACTTCTGAATCCCAAACTATTCGATTAGGGGTTAGTACACAAAGATTTAAGGTCATTTCTTCAAATTGCTCTCCATTTCTAAGTTCATAGCCTTCGCCGTAGCTTCATCGATGTTACCTACCAAATAAAAGGCCTGTTCAGGAAGACCATCTAATTCTCCGGAAAGGATTAATTGAAAGCCTCTAATTGTTTCTGCTAAACCAACATATTTTCCCGGAGAACCCGTAAATACTTCTGCTACAAAAAAAGGTTGTGATAAGAAACGCTCAATTTTTCGCGCTCTTGCTACGGTTAAACGATCCTCTTCGGATAATTCGTCCAATCCAAGAATAGAATATCTTGAAGTTCTTTGTAACGTTGTAAAGTTTGCTTAACCTCTTGTGCAGTGTCATAACGTTCTTCACCAACGATCCGGGTTGTAGCATAGTTGACGTTGAATCTAAAGGATCTACTGCTGGATAGATACCTTTGGCGGCTAATCCCCTTGATAGTACGGTAGTAGCATCTAAATGTGCAAATGTCGTAGCAGGAGCAGGGTCGGTCAAATCATCTGCAGGTACATAAACAGCTTGAATAGAAGTTATGGACCCTTCTTTGGTAGAAGTAATTCTTTCTTGGAAAGAACCCATTTCGGTACTAAGGGTAGGTTGATAACCCACAGCGGAAGGCATTCTACCCAACAAGGCGGATACTTCAGATCCTGCTTGGACAAAACGGAAGATATTGTCAATAAATAAAAGTACATCTTGTTCATTAACATCTCGGAAATATTCCGCCATAGTTAGGGCAGTCAAACCAACTCTCATACGAGCTCCCGGCGGTTCATTCATCTGACCGTAAACTAGAGCTACTTTTGATTCTGGAATATTTTTTTCATTAATTACTCCAGATTCTTTCATTTCCATGTAAAGATCATTTCCTTCACGAGTCCGTTCACCGACTCCGCCAAATACAGATACGCCTCCGTGAGCTTTGGCAATATTGTTAATCAATTCCATAATGAGTACTGTTTTACCCACGCCAGCTCCCCCGAATAGTCCGATTTTTCCTACACGGCGATAAGGGGCTAAAAGATCTACTACTTTAATTCGGGTTTCAAAAATAGATAATTTTGTATCTAACTGTATAAAGGCAGGCGCAAATCTATGAATAGGAAATGTTGTACTAGTATCTACAGGACCTAAATTATCAACAGGCTCGCCAAACACGTTGAAAATTCGTCCGAGAGTCGCTCCACCGACCGGAACACTTAGTGGAGCTCTCGTATCAATTACGTCCATCCCTCTCGTTAGACCATTTGTAGCACTCATAGCTACGACCCTAACTCGATTGTTTCCTAATAATTGTTGTACCTCACAAGTCACATTAATTGGTTGACCAGCAGTATCTCGACCCTTAACTACCAGAGCGTTATAAATATTAGGCATTTTGCCTGGCGGAAAGGCTACATCTAGTACCAGACCAATGATTTGGGCGATACGCCCCAGTGTCTTTTTGTCAAGCGTGGTAACCCTAGAACCAGAAGTAGTAGGATTCATTCTCATATTCAACAATAAAGTAAAAAATCTCGAAATTTTTTGCGAATAGGATCGCATTCAAAATAAATCTCCGATGTCAAGTTGATCGGTTAATTCAAAAGAAATGAGAGTTAGCACACGATTTTGTTAGTACCATCCAACCGAATCCAATTGAATTGTTTACTTATTCAATTTCAATGAGTTAATTTTCAAGTTCAACCAACCCATTTTCAAAATAAAAAGTAGATGAATAAGAATCTTGAGAAAATCTTTCATTTGTCTATCATTATAGACAATCCCATCTATATTATCTTAGGAATTCGAACCTGAACTCTATTTACGATTCAATATTTCTATATAATCGGCTCTTCTTATTTCTATTCATTTAGTTATATCCTGTTTTTTTTTTTTTTTTTTTTTTTTTTTACCTTCTCATAGAAAAATTCCACAGATTTTCACATCTAGTATTTACATTATACAACATCACTTACAACATATATCACTGTCAAGAGGAATTTCTTAGTATTTTGGTGATTTTTAGTTATTCGATTCAAAAAATAAATAAATAAGA